GACTGTGGAAGGGAAGAAAAGTATGCCCAACTTGCAGCTTGATTTACGCCAGCAGAACTACCACCGGGTAACAGTGAAGCCTTCATTGTCGGTTCCCTAGGGGAGCTAACGACCAGCATATGGGAAGGGACTAATGAAACGTTGGCCTCACGAAAGTATCATAAAATCTTCGGAAGGCTGTGTAGGTGTGAGTCGACGTCATATAAATGGTCAAGGATGATATACAGTGAACATATAAAAGGTAATAGGCGTATTAACAAACATTGTAAAATTTTTGTCTTCAAGACCGCTTGTAACTTGATGTTTAGGACTATTAGATTAGATTGTTTTGATAGTGCAGATCACACTGTGTTTGCTTTTGCATTGTATAAAATAAATTATTATTCTGAACATGATGTAAAACACATTGTAGCATTTTTCGAAAATAAATTGTTCTTATCAGCGTGATATAGCTAACAGATTCACCACTGCCGAGGAAGGTTAACACACCACGACAGTTATGAGTTGGCTGGTGCGACGATGACTCTGAGGGATGACCACGACTTCTGGTTTCAGATTGATGAGCGGCGATTGAGGACGGTTCCTGCAACGAGGCCTGACCAGTGCGTGATGACGAGAGATGGCGGACCTGGGGATGATTCCTGCAACAAGGACCTGGAACAGTGGTATTGGACGAGGACAGCGACCTGAGGTGGTCCCGAGCGAGGCCCTGACCAGTGTGATTGGACGAGGACCAGAGGACAGTGGGTGAGGTACGACCCAAGCAGTTGAGGCTTCCACTGACAGCGCCTTGGCCAAGCAGTGAGGCTTCCACTGGACAAGTGCTGGCCAAGCAGTGAGGCTTCCATGACCAGCCACTGCCCATGCAGTGAGCTTTCCAACCGACAGCGAAGGACAACCAAATTTGAATTTTATGGTTCTCTTTTGGCAGAATTGGCTCCTGTCTCCCGAGAATGGCAGTACCGATGTCCAATCGACAACAGTGAACTGCGGGGCCGCTGACGCGAATACCACTTCGGCAAGCAGAGCATGGTGATGCTGCTTGCTGGAATACACCATCTGCCGGGGAGATTGATGGTGTGCCGTTGAGATATCCGGAAAATGATGACGCTGCCATGGACATCCCCCACGGCCAGAGGACGACGAATTCAACCCCAACGAGATGTAACCGCCATGATCATCAGCTTCCGACCCTAAGTCCTTCAGGTGCAATGAAAACTGCCGTTGGTCGAGCGTAGCACCGTGTGGACCAACCTTCGACAGTCGCTTGAGCGACACCTCCTTGCCACACATGAGGTGTCATTCTCTCCCAATCATATATTGTGCAGGATGCAACATCGTCCTCGGGCAGTCGTCCAAACCTTACACAGATGTCCAGGAAATCGACAACTGGAGAATAGGACCCCCTGCACTCCAGACCAACACGGCCTGCGGTTGCGGTGCGAAACGAAGGCTGCCATGAGGCATTCCCATCAAAATTGGGCTGAAGAACCATAAGGGCGCTCACGCCGACACAATGCCATGAGAGGGCCCAGACAGCTTCGACTTCGCCTTCGAAGACTTCCACCCTCGTCTCACCGGCTGGAGCCTTCTCTCGGCCAGAAACAAACGCTGCAGCCCCCTCCACCAAGGTGGATCCCCCTGTACAACAAACTCAGCAGACAGGGAAACAATCCCAAGCAACACGGCTGTTCCACATCTTCCTTAGCCCTTTCCCCCATACCTTTACCCTCTCCCCCCCCTTCCCACATACTTTGTGACCAAGGCGATTACCCAGGCCTGGCTCCCCACCACCGACTCTCTAGTCCTTACTCCATTCCTCACAACTCTCTTCGTTCCTCTTCTCACCCCCCGACCCACACCCTATACCCTCCTGTCCATTCACCCTTACCTCTCTCTTTGCAGTCAGCCGCCACCCTCTCCCATTCTTTTACAGATGAGATCCATTACCCCAGGCAGACGCTTTGTCAAGGGCCAGGGGACCACTCCCCAGTGCCAGGAGGGGACCATCAGGATACAAGCAGGAAACGCCGACTCAGCGACGACGCTGTGGAGGATTGGATCCTCGAGCCTTTCTAGGTCCCTGCTTTGATGTTCTACACAACCCTGACTGGGACAAGTTTGTCTAGCTAACAGGGGACGGTGACTGAGGAAATTCAGCAGGCTAACTCCATACCAACTCAACGATATAACTCCCCTTACCCCCCGGGCCCCCCGGGGAACGATTGATGTTAACGACTGCAAAGCCATACAAGCGCTTATACAAGATTAATAGAAGACGAGCTGTGCGGTTAATAACTACGGTGAGGGTAGTCGTTGGCAAGCTTACCTAAGGAAAGGATAGAGGCCAATTCCGTCAGATCCAGGGAGAGTATGTTGACCCCCTGAAGACCCAGCACTAGTGGTGCAATTCCTTATCCCAACGAAGAAAGGACACTCCTTCACTTCAAACCCTTTTACAGAGAAGGAAGTAAATTCAGGTTCCTTCCGAGAAAATACTGCCCCAGTGTTGACCGCATTAACTACAGGAACTGGCGACTTGCAGACCCCAGGTGGTGTAGGGTTATTACAGCAATCTTTAACCATTTGTCCTACGTTGAGGCCCGCATCCCAGAGACCTGGAAATCCTCACGCACTATACTGATTCCCAGAGTGGCGACCGTAACAGGGAGATAACCAACTGGAGATCACTCAAGTCGCTACGGTGGACTGAACTATCTTACAAACTCTAAAGCTGGGATGTTTAGCTGCCATGCCTCAAGACAGTGGGTTACTGACAATGACGTACAGTGCCCAGCACGGAGAAGGCTTTATGCCAGTGAAGGGGTAAGTAGAACATAACTCTACATTATTCAACACTACATTGATTGGGTGGCCGCAGTGGCAACACGGACATCTGTATAGCACACACTAGGACTCATTCACCAATGCCTTTTGGTTCTATGTTCCAACTGAACTAATAGAGCTGTCACTGGGACCGTTTATGGGTGTCGGAGGAGTTCAGGAGGATATCAGTGGGATATACATGTTATTCACCCGAAAATTCATGAACAATTGAGGAGGAGACTGCTGATATCAACTAACGGGGAGTTTCGACAGAAGGATGCCCCCTTACGTGAGGCTATATTCAACATTGGTATAGAGGCAATCCTGCGAAAAGATCATAAGCAGCTGGCATGTGACTACAAAAACCCCCAGAGCTGAGAAGCACCCGTGCTCCTCGCATATGCCGATGACAGATCACTCTATTAGCACAGACCCAGAACGCAAACTGAGGAGCTGTGTGTCATCATGCGTCTGCAACACAAGCATGTCGGGCTTCATGCTAACCATCAACTCCCCTGCAAATGCACCCGCCTGGCACATGTCCGGAGCCAGCCTACGAGGGATGAGACGAAACTCCATTCTGTAGAAGACAACAGACAGATTTTGTCCATTGAAGATGGACAGTACATCAAAAATCCTAGGGACGCCCATGTTGGGTTTCAGCTACTACCAGATATAGCCATCATTGAAGACTACATCACCTAGGAGGATGATACTCGAAAGCAAACTGCACCCTGGACGCGATTGGATGCCTGAAGACGTGTGTTTCTATCATCCGCTAGTGTTTGCCATGCGAACATGCCAATTGAGGAAGGGAAAAAACCGATTTGGACACCGTCTGGACAGTGCATTGCGACTCTGATTAAAAAGACCTGTACTCTTCAGCCTCGTCGTCATAATGAAATACATATGTGGAAGCAGCCAGCTGGCGGGGCCTGTGGCATTCCTCTGCAGCAGAAGCTCTGAATATTCCTGGTGACACGGCCTTCAAACTACTCACCTCATTGGACCTAGACACCAGAGACATTGCCGGAGTGATGCCAGCAAGTGCATCCACTGACGAACCCAACAGGACCCAACATGGAGGATGCGTTTGCATTCTTGTATCAAAAGCAGGAGATGGGACGAGCAAAGGGACAACCAAACACTGTGGTCAGGGCAAGGGATGCCTCTGGAAGGATGCGTGTGATATGGTCATAGCAGCGAAGAGAACATGGGGCTATATGTGGCGATTCTACACTAGGACAAGACACGGCTGGATAGCGCCCTCGCACCATCTGGAATCACCACGAGGTCAGGGATAATCACCGTCAAGCAAACAGACAAGGGAGGAAAGTGATTTGAAAGAGTAGTGCACAGAAACGAGCATCATCTCACTTCATTGAGAGGGAGAACATACCACAACTTCGCCGACTGGAGATTCATACACCGAGCAGACCCTAAACATGCTTCCATTGAAATGGGCGCACGTCACTATGACAGGGGGGTGACCGACGATGCGAAGATGACCCTACCAAATAGAGACACTTCACATGGTCTTAACCACTGCTGGAGCAACTCGGCCACCATTGACCCTGCGAACACAATGCTCATTAGTGGCAAGGATCAAGAGGCAGCCCAGGACGAGGGTGGAGACTCATCTCCGAGAATCAGCGTGGTTGCAGATGCACAAGGATCACAGGACGTACCAAGGACCTAGTCATCACAAAGGGTGGTGATACACTGTTGATTGATGTTACATGGCCCCCTTCGAGAATGGACGAGAGCATTCGCCGGAACCGAAGCAAGTCTGAGGAAGGAAGGAAAAAGTTGACCAACTTGCAGCTGATTACGGCAGAACTACCACCCGAGGTAACGTGAAAGCCTTCATTGTCCGGTTCCCTAGGAGCTTAGTCCAGAATGGAAGACTAATGAAAACGTCTGGCCTCACGAAAGTATCAAAAATCTTCCGGAGGCTGTGTAGTGAGCGACGTCTAAAGCATGGTCAGGATAGATATACATTGAACTATAACAGGTATAGCAGTCAGTATTAACAACATTGTAAAATTTTTAACTCAAGGACGCTTTTAACTTGATGTTTAGGACATATTAGATTAGAATTTTGATAGTGCAGACATCACCACTGGTTCTGCTTTGCATTGTATAAAATAATTTTTTATTCTGAAATTATGTAAAACACATTGTAGCATTTTTTCCGCCAATTAAAATCTGTTCTTATCAGCGTGATATCTGATATGATTCCATGTGGGATTCTTCGATATTAAACTGATTTTTGGTTCATGGCGAAAGTTGCTAGGGGCTTGCTCCACCTTTGCCGCGGATCAACCCGGTATTGCATTATCTCCGGGATTGGTCCACTCCCCTAGGGGAGAAAAAGAATACCATCTAATCAGACTATAATAAGAAGCAGTGTTCCATACATTGAACCTCTTTGCATTCCGAGGCACGGTGGCCCAAAAGGAAAAACGAAAGTTTCTCCTTTTACATTTAGTAATATATACATCCCTCTAGCGCCTGGAACCAATCTTGGCCGGAAAACATTATATACTGAGTCAAAAAAGGAGAATTAGTGTGCACTACCTAGCAGAGTTTACTGCCAGAGGGCAATCATAGGCCTAGGTGCCGTGTGAAATAAATAATAATAATTGAACTTTGTGTCAGAGGAAAGAAAGTCTCCCTGAAAACATTGAGTATACATAGTGTATAGTGTATACTACAGTGGCTCCCTAGTATATTGATGATAAAGGCTAAAGTATCATTTGAAAACAGGTGAATGTAAAATGAAGTGATAAGCCGATAGAGGGCAGGTGCCGAAGTCGCCAGAAACTTACCACAGGTCAGTGTTTATAATAATCTTCTGGCCTGCTAGTGTACTCGCATATATGTTCCTGGGCTTGCTAGTGTACTAGCCATATAATGTTCCTGGCTGCATAGTGTTACTAGGCATATATGTAGTGATACCAGTGAATAGCAGAATACAGTGTTGTTAAGTAGCAACTAACACTAGAGGCTAGTGAGAGAGACTAACACTAGAGGCAGTGAGAGAAGACTAACTCTAGAGGCAGTGAGAGAAGACTAACACTAGAGGCAGTGAGAGAAGACTAACACTAGAGGCAGTGAGAGAAGACTAACACTAGAGGCAGTGAGAGAAGACTAACACTAGAGGCAGTGAGAGAAGACTAACACTAGAGGCAGTGAGAGAAGACTAACACTAGAGGCAGTGAGAGAAGACTAACACTAGAGGCAGTGAGAGAAGACTAACACTAGAGGCAGTGAGAGAAGACTAACACTAGAGGCAGTGAGAGAAGACTAACACTAGAGGCAGTGAGAGAAGACTAACACTAGAGGCAGTGAGAGAAGACTAACACTAGAGGCAGTGAGAGAAGACTAACACTAGAGGCAGTGAGAGAAGACTAACACTAGAGGCAGTGAGAGAAGACTAACACTAGAGGCAGTGAGAGAAGACTAAACACTAAGGCAGTGAAGTAGTAATAGCATAAACAGACATAAGTCATTAATGGTACTTATGGATGTGGAGGTGTTTTAG